GATCACCAATTTTAGGTCTGCAAACAGATGAAACGATGATAAAACTAGTTGAATCCAAAGCATTTGCCTAGTATCGTCTTTGTCTCTGGATCCGATACGTGCTACCAGCAACAAGACTGAAATTACTCCACGACACTCACTTGAACATCAGATAAAAGCACAGAAACCACTAAGTGGAGAAAACAAACGACGACCGATGAACTACGATACCGATCACCCCAAGTACCATCTGAGAAGCTAGGTGCGCACTTGCTTCCGCTGGGTCGACACATCACAGCACAAAAGGAACTCCGACATCAGGAACGAGTCCATTTGTTCCATCAGTTCCATACAAACGGAATCCCCGAAATTTTCGTTCAGTCACACCTTAGTGGAAAAAGAAAATTAAAGGATGAAGAGAAGAAAACGAAACTGATACCAGCATACACAATACACCGTGTGTTAGAAGATGTCGACCACTATTACCCTCAAACTTGTAGCAACTCTACGATCAAATTAGTCCAACCGCAAGGACTATATATAAGTGCTCAATCAATCAAGGTGGTGTGCACGGTTCTGTGCCTATACTGTGATCTACTTTGCGTGGAGGAGACGGGCAAACAACTGTGNAAGTCGAAATAAACCACATAAAGGTGGTGGGGAGGGTATGGAGGAAGGAGGAACATCTGATAATTGAGGCTCTTCATTCGTCCAACTCATTAGGTCGGCCCATCGAACCCCATAAACATTACGTAACGACTGTACAACCAATGGGGCACTCGAGATTGATGGACAACCAGGAGCACAAAAATCATCGTGTGAGGCCTAAACAGTCCCAATGCACATACACGCACTGCTACTTGACAACGGTTCTTGTTCTTGATTGAACCGTGACAATAAATACTATCACCGAGCGCTTATCTTCTCTTCGTCAAAGTATCGACAGCTTTGAGACCTCAAGACTGTTATATTCCGGAAAGGCCCAAATCGACATCTCAGTCTCACTGCAGGCGATACAATCGGTAGTTAGAAATTACGGAGAATCAATAAATAGGTTGTTGACTCGGGTGCACACGCCCCGGAT